CGGTTTTTGGAATATCGTCAGTGGCCACATGGATCTGATCATAGGCTTTAACTAGGTCGATTTTCGAAAAGACAGTTGTACATTTCAGGGTAGCTGTCAAATCGTGAATGCGAGGCAATGGGTAATGATCAGAAATGGTTTCTGTATTCAAACGCCGACGGTCACCAGTTGGACGCCAATCGTTGCTGTTCTTTTAGAGACCATGTGAAGGTTAAATGCTCATAGGCTGTTTGACGGTCAAATGATTCCTAACTCTATCATGTGGTCAAATTCGTTCTTAGCATTTGGTATATCTCAGGGTACTTATAGAGTATTTGTTGGTAGCACGGGTCAATCGAGTGCCTTAATGTGACTAGGGACAATCTACAACCGGAAAAAGAAGTTACACAGACAGATAAATTAGTGTTTCCGTCTACTAGCCTGCGTTCGCGCTCATCGGTGAGTAGCTTGTGGTGTCGTAGTAGGTCTATACCAGATGATTGTCACAGAAACATTTGCAACAATGAAGGTCCAGTGGATGCTTTTACTTAAACCCACGTCAAGTAATACATGTCACTTAGCATGTATGGCGACTGCTTTCTCGTTTGCTGCATGTACGTTAAAAACTGCTTTGTGCAGCCAACTGATGGAATTTGATGGAAGAACGCTAACTTCTGCGCCAGTATCAACGGGGCAATGAACTTTCGTAATCGCATCGGTGATGTATAATAGATGGCTATGTTCGCCGACTGCGGTTACCATTAACACATGCCAACTGGGAAGTTTCCTAGAACGTTTTTCGTGTTGGATGGTTAGGGGCTTAGGAAGCTGTAGGGTTTTCTGCAATTTCTGGAAGACTTTCCACTCTGGTTATGATACAAGCACCAGTCGGGTTTATCCGTCTCTCGTCGTCTTGAGACAGACCGCCTACGTGAATTGCTTCTTCACGGGTTCTATGACCGTTTACAGTCATTACGAAATCTAAGATAGCGTGTAAATGTACGACATAGTTCCATAATGTCATTCTGGGTCGTTTTATGTTGTTGTTTGACTGAAGAACATCGGTGTTAGAAGATTTCGTGATCTCTAGGATGCGGTCAGCAGATGCAGTCACCTCGTCTGCGGCGTATTTTTGGAGCGAGACAAGTACTGCTTGAACCTGCTGAGAAAATTTTGATAAGAAATGTTGTCTGGGTAGGCCATCATCGAAATTTCTTTGGCTGATAACCTGTATCATCGTTAGCAACATGTCTCACAGAACCAGGTCGATATTATTGAGGAGTCGATCTAAAATTGGCGAACGGTTAGATTTCTGCGTTTCAGGATCGACCGTTTTACAGTTTCGTAAGGTTCCGAAACATCATTAGTAAACATACTAGGTGTGACGTACCTGTTGAATTCACGCGATAGTACCTTAACTACCGCGATGAATTGTGTGCGTGAATCAGTAATGTCGTGCTCGTAGAAGTCGGCTTCTGCGTAGCAGAACCAAGCGTCAATGTTGTTTGGCCAGAATGGCATTAGTTGAAACGAAGGTGAGGACATAGTCTTCAACTTAAATACCTTGTGTGTCTCTTCCATCATAGTGAAATGTCAAGTACGAAAATGAAGGAGGAAAAAATATCACAATATATAAATGTTAAAATAAAGCAGTGATTGATGAAATTCCAAAAAGGAACAGACTCACAGCTTGTGGGTTGGTGTACCAGATCACGTCGGATTCACCACTAAGGATGCCGCAGATATTGTAGTTTGACAACACTTTGCCAGCAACACCTTCTATAATTGAATCATGCTCACCCAGTTAAACCAAAAGACAGAATCGAGGGGGTTGAAAAATGTATTATTATTATTATTATTATTAATGGCTTTATTCAATATTATGATCTGGCACAATACAGAATTCTCAGCACGAGTTATTTCAACAAGTTTTTTACCAAAAAAACCCAAAAAAACAAACAAAAAAACAGAAAAGGAATGAAAAAGATTTAAGAAAAACTGAATTTATACAAATTATCGAATTTGAAACATGCTTAAGAAGACAGGTTATTTACTAGGTCAACTCTAACAGCATGTTCGTCACAAAAGAAATTTGCTAGGTAAGGTATTACAGAACTTTTATAGACTTGCTTGTGTGTATGGATTTTAATGTATTTACGTCTCGTTCTACTAGAAGATATGCAAGGAGAAAGATATGAATGAAGCGGATGGTTAGTATCTGATAAGATAACACCTACCAAGAGTTTGCAAGACTTAAGATGTATATCCACAAGCATGTTAATAATGACTTCAAAAGATTCACCACATACCTTGCAAACCGCCCTCAGCACTCTACGCAAAACAGCAAAGTCTTTTCCCAGGAAAGAATAATGGAGAACAATATAGAATAATAGGTAATATGCAGGAATTTACAAATTGTAAGAGTAAATGGCAAGTAATTCCAAAAGCATGCAGCCTCTTTATGTAGTATGTCAAACGGTAAACTTTTTTCGTTAAGAGTAAAACATGAGAAGACCAAGAAAGATCAGAGGAAAAAATGACACCAAGATATTTGACCTTCGACACTGTGTTTATTAAGAAGTCTCCAATGGCACAAGCATTATGGGATCCAAAAATAGAGTGTAGGTTCTGTCCATGTCTCAAGCTAAAATTAACAGCTTGACATTTAGATGGATTGGGTAAGAGACCATTACCAACAGACCACCTTTCAATACGAGATAAAAACTCATTCATTTCTATGGGATGTAAGGAGGTAGGAATCGGCATACATACAGTGAGGTCGTCCGCATATTTTACGAAAGTGTTTTCTGTGGAAGATGGCAGATCATGCAGAAAAAAAGGGAAGAGTAGAGGTGAAAGAACAGCTCCTTGTGGCACACCTACATTAGACAGTAGAGATGTTGAAAACTTTCCTTAAAATACAGTGTACTGTTCTCTTCCAGAAAGGTAGGAACATAGCCAATTGGTTATCCAGCAGTCGGTGTCGACGCTGATCAGCTTGTTAAGTAAGAGGTGTCTTGGAATAGAATCAAAAGCAGAAGTAAAGTCCAGGAAAGCGCATCTAACATACTTTTTACCCTTTTCCAACCCGAACACTATAGTGTGATGCAGAACAGCAACGGCATCTAATGTGCTTCTTTTGCATTTGTAAGCAAACTGATATGGATCACAGTGCTCTTTTATTGCAGGTTGAAGTGGTTGTATCAGTAATTTTTCCATTATTTTAAGGAAAGGTGAAGTTATTGCAATGGGTCTAAGTTTCGCATTTTTATCACCAGAAGCTTTCTTTGGTATAGGGATTGTCTTTATCTTTCTCCACATCTTCGGTAAGACATTAGTTGAGAAGGATCCGTTAAAAATATTCGTTAATGGATGACATAAAACATCAGCACATTTTTAGAAAGGAGGTTTGGGATACCATCAGGTCTTAAACATTGGGATGAATTAAGTGACTGGAGACACTTTCGGACATCATTTTCAGTGAAACTGGAAACACAATTATTCTTCGGACCCTTGGATATAGGGAGCATGATGTCAGATGACTGACGTATAAAGGACTTATTTAAGTCACAAGCATTCAGCTGGTTATCGCTTCTAGTTTTCCTGTTCCCTATAATTTCTTTAAAGAGTTTCCACATACTTGGAGAGCTTTTACAAGATAGGAGTTTTTGAGTAAACATAGAGTTGAGACGTCTAATCTTTTGGTTTATTTGACCATTGAACTTACGAACTTCAGTAGTATTTTTCTCCCTGTACATCCTTTCTTTTACCCTCCGTAGTCGTTTTAGTTGTGGAGATGTAAGTCGATCAAAACTTAAAAAGTAGGTTTCGGTAGGACAGCAAATATCAAAACAGAACTTAATATAACAGGTGATAACATCAGTTGTGTTTTCTATTGAGTCATCTGTAAATAATTCCCAGTTGGTCGTACGAAACATGTTTTTTAGATTTTGTAAATTTTCTTCTGAGTAATTCCTGCATATTACTTTTTTGGTATGGTGTATTTGGTAGATTATCAAGGGGTGACTGATCTAAACAGGCTAGTGATCTCAGGAGAAGTTGAGCACTGCATTCCCACTCGTGATCTGGTGTTGATGCATGACCGAGCACCGTCAGCTAAGTGAGTCCATTAAAACTAATATGCTCAGCATCCACTGTCGAACACTTACAGAGCTATTGATTTTGGGGAATTATTTACCGCTACTTATTTATGGAGTAATGGGTTAACATATGTAACAATCGGTCGACAAACTTCAAGTGAGAATTATGACTAATAAAAGGACTGCGTTTCTTTGGTCGCGCTTACCAATGTAGAATTATTATCTACTTCGCTATTAGTACTATTATAATAATAGATCTAATCCTAAAATTGCAGATATGTCATGATGTGAATATCTAATATATAAGATCTTATGTGGGAGTCACATCACTGTCTACACCGACTCCTTGTGTCGTAATAATTAACGATATGATACTCACTACTTCTCAAGAACACATATGAGCTGAAAATAGAATGATATATTTAGTATGAATAAAGACAGGTTATAAAGAATGATTAAGTCTTCGATGCTGAGCCACGCCATCCAATTGATTAGTTAAATCTTACGTTCGCGATTGCTGGCCTTTTGCTGACCGTCCCACAGCCCATGAGGTTCAAACCCCTTAGTTGCAACCTCACGGCAGTGGGCCGTGGTCTAAAGTTCATGTATCACTGTCAGTAAAAAGAGGAAAGAACCCAGGACAGAAACTGTCGGTAGTCAACTAAGTACTAGTTTGCAATTGGAGTACTTGGAATTTATTCTTACTTCTATCTACGGCTTACCAGGAAATCCTTAAGCCATTTATAGAGGTCCGGCAATGCCTAGATTTCCCAGCTTCAAGAACAGTCTATCACTTGACACCCTGTCAAATGCATGTATTGTAAATTTCAATTCGATACTGAAAACAAATGCGTCGGAGAATCTTGTATAAGTTTTTTAAGTGATAATGGCGTGGTGTTTGCTGCTCATATTTGTTTAAGTGTTTTAGTGATGAGAATTCTGTTAAAGGAGAGGGAGTTTTAATTGTTAGCATTGTGTCCCGTTTGAAAGTATGGCAACGTTGGGTACTGGTATGCGTTGTCTAAAAAGTTGCGTATTCGTTTTGAACATCATCTGTCTGGTATGAATAGCTGATTTTAATTGTTTCTGCAACTAGTTATGTTCCCTGGTATTAATTGGGGCTGGTGCCTATGTGGAAGTCAAGTTTAGTCAATATGGAGACAATTTACACAAAGTCTGGCAGGCAGCACCTATCGCTATAATTGTTGTCGGAGTAATAATCCTGATAGTGAGCTTTCTGGGTTGTTGTGGAGCTATAAAGGAAAACGTCTGCATGCTGTATATGGTAGGTTATTCCAGGCAAGTTTGAGCTTGTAGTATGCGTTCTTCCTCGTCGTACTTCTGATTGCTGAGTTGGCCGCTGCCATAGTTGCAGTTGTTTACAAAGATAAGATCGATTCAGAAATTGATGCAATAATGACTGGTGCTCTGGATAAACCGACAAAAGAGATAACTGAATTCATGAATTTGATTCAGTCATCAGTAAGTCATAAAAGTACCTGTTAACTTTTCTAGTTCAATTGCTGTGGAGCCAAAGGCCCTGATGATTATCGTGGTAACGTGCCAGCTTCGTGCAAAGAAGAGAATTTGACCTATACCGAAGTAAGTCCAATTTGTTGGAAATGCATGTTGAGAGAATACTACGTAGTCATCGTTAATAACAGTTAATTGACACGTACGTAGACATATATTATCTAAAGATTTTCTCCATCAAATCTGATGCAAGTCTAGATACATTTGTTTAGAACAAGTTCCTGAATGTAAAAACACTTGTAACTTACGAAACAATGTTGTTTTTGGTACCAATAATCATTCCTAACGTCCCTTAGTGCATATGTTAATTATTGCCTAGTCAGTTGGTTAGTCCATGTCAGTTTTTCGCCGTGTAATACTACATACGAAGGCAAGCCTTGAAAATCACATGACATCAGAAGCTGTGCTACTCACAAAGTCAGTGGCATTGAGCAGTTGATTAGTCATTCGCAACGTAGAACTTAGTACGTATGTACACCTTCGATTTCACCTTATTATATTAGCACAGAGAATGAGACTGTCAAACGAACTCTCTGAGTAGCAAATTTAGTAACAGCATGAGTAGTAATAAATATCAGGCGTCTAATATTTGATTGAGAAAAACGAAAATAACTGAAATAAAAAGAAAAATTTGTAAATAATTCATTAGTTCAAAGTTTAGATGTCAATAAAGAAGAGATGCAACCATGTCATCGAACACAATTTTAAGCCATGTCATTCAGTCTTTAATTGCCGGTTATAAAAATCACTTGGACCCCAATCAAGTTGTCTACAACTGTTGACATAAATCAGTGAATGACTTCATGAACTGATGCATTAGGATATGTCCTATTAAAAGTTCGTGTTTTCGACAAAATTGTAGGCTGAGCTTGCCTCAGGCTCAAAGTATTACTACTGTTGTAGTACTCGTACGTATGATTGATTTCAGCTGCAAACTCCGAATAATCATTCGGCGAGACTACGTTTGTAGTCCGAGGTCTATGTCTTTACTTTGTCAGATGGTGCTACGAGTCTTGTACTTTTACCAAAGCATTAATGATTAATTGTACTAAGTCTTGAGTACATATTTTCTAACGGTTATCGTCTTTTCATTTTTAGGGCTGTGTATCTGTCTTTGGAGCATTCTTAAAACGCAACCTGGTGATTGTTGCCTGTGTTGCATTTGGTGTATGCTTTTTCCAGTTGTTAAGCATTGTCATAGCCTGCTGTTTGGGTCGCCAAATAAAGGAGTATGAAAATGTGTAAACACTGCAGAGAAAACAGTATGATGTTTATCAATCCCGTTCTGTTTTCCCTCTGGCTTTTATGAAATGTTGCTTTTTATTGCCTAGATAATTGTGCCTTGGTTAATAATCGTGTACTCGACTTCGTTTACGATATAATTATTATACTTAAATATGATACTGTCATTCTCATTGTTCCACTTATCATTCTTATACCAAATGAGCTGCATTGATTCCCTGGTATTTACCTACGAACTGATGACAAATCATCTTCATTTTTATGGTGTGTCTTATAACATTTCTCGTTTATATAATTTTAAATCTTTGGTATACCTTTTGTTTTACAGACCGCTTATTTTGCCGCCACAGCATTAGACATTTCTTGTATAAATTAATTCCGTTAACTTATTTCAGTCTTCAACTGCAATTGCGGGGTTCTAATAATATTCATAGCAGTAACTGTTCGAGGTTTGTTTTGTTCGTTCACAATTCCTTTATTTAAAACTAGCGAAGCTCAAAATGAATGAAGATTTCATTGTGTTTGTCCGCAATTATAGAGGTCGATTGCTAATGATGTGGTTCAAATGGTCAGGTATTTGAAAAGATATGGTTGTAGTTATTACATCTGTCTACGTCCATCACTATAATAAGGCTTCAATGGGATGTCAACAATCTGTTGTACAATCAAATGATACATTATCAAGGTAGAATCAAGTGAAATGTTTTTTTCATACTACAACAATTATGTGGAACTTTATTACATCTTAAAAGACTAACCGAATCTCATTGCTGTTGCGTAGAATAACAGTCAATTTTGTCCTCGGACAAATTATTTACTACGATGAGAGTTTTCAGTAACTCTGGTCATAGCTCTATAACGACTTCACAACAAACATATTTTCACGGTAATACTGGAAGAGTTGTTGATTAGATTACCTTTAGGGTGAAAAACGCGGCATTCGAATATACGAGTCGCTGTATAGAAAGATAGTTACGTACCTTGTTTACCATGAACATGAAAGTCTCAGTTGATTTCTAGTGATAGTCCTGAGCGTCTGGTTACTCACGAATAGGCAGCTTGTAACTGAGGTTACACCGAACTGATGTTTCGCCCAGAAACAAAACCGCTTGGGAAACACTCCGCTGTTTTATATTTATTAATACCAAGTTTAAGCTTGTTATTTTCAGTTTCGAAAGGTTAGGAGGCTTGATGGCCTGTGTTAGTCCTGGCAGTGATGGTCTCTCAGTTGACCCAACTTTCTTTTGAAAGAGTCGACGGATGAAGCCTCATCAATCTGCTGAGGTTATAAATTCCACTCGATGATTCGATGGGAAAGTCGATAGTCAGCTGACAAGTTATTCGTACTGAGCTTGTAAACTTTGGAGTGTCCTCGTACATTTTCTGTTTTGTAAGAGAAGAATAATGAGGGTATATCAGGTGCAAATTTCTTATTAGGCAATTTGAAAACTAATGAAGTCGCCTCTGGCTCTTCGATATGACTAGGTTTAGCTTGGTCAGTCTAGTACCATACGGAAGCTTCGCTATTCCGAGAACCACCTTAGTTGGTGCTCTCTGAACCCTTTCCGAGAGCTCACTGTCTATTTTTTAGACAGGGGCTAGCCGATTGTATGCAGTACTGAAGTTTAGGACGCACGAACACTATCGAAAATCAAGAACGCATTAGCGACGATATGACTTGAAGCCCTACGTATCAATCATAAAGTTCTAAAACGTTGAGCGGCACGCTAACCGCCAGGTTTGGGACCATTCAGATAATTTCTCCATGTCGTTTTGGAGTCCTAAGCTCTCACCGTTTTTATCGTTCTCCATACCTTGGCATCGTCAGCATATAGGAAGGCTGATGACAATAGTAAGGTAGATTTGATAATAAATATATTTTTGTTGAGTCCCATTAGGTAAGAAAATTGTTTTTAGTGTTTCTTGACTTAATGTAAACCACTTCTACAGAATAAGTAAGTAACCGAAATTAAAGCAGGTTCAAATATTACACACGAAGCAATGGCGTTGTTATGAAACGTCGGAACTATAATTTATCTACTCATTGGGATATAACAAAAACATCCATCATTAATTCGCTCTTTGGCTGAGTGTTAAGATATAAACTGTAAGGCCTAATTTAAATAACTACTAATAGGAAGTGTGGTTGGCTACATCCTCCTTGGTCACAAAATCTCAGAGTACTTGTTTATCTTTCGAATATAATCAATCAGTTGACGGAATTCCAGGTAAACTAGCAGTAAATGACTAGAGTGACCAGCATTTCTTACAATCAGTTATTTGTATGTGTTTATACTTTCTTGAAAAAAGATGAAATGCATAACCACATGTCTAACGACTTGCCAAACAGATTTTCTTATATGTGGAGGCAATGTCACCCATATTTATGTCAACACCATTGTCCATGATATCAGTGTCTTTCTAGCGCCATATGAAGAAGTGGTGAGAGTCCTGATGGTTTATTGTCTAGATCTTCCTATTCACTTGATGGTATGATGAACGGACCAAATACAACATAGACCTCTCAATCTTTTTGCAAATCCTGTTGTTGGTATTACTCAGAAGGTAGACAATGTTTATTTTGTTAATTTTCCAAGCTTTACTGAGGTGACGGTAAAGTTGACTGAAAAGTTCAGAGTCTTTCTTAAGTACTCATAAACAATTAATCCATCTACCATTCTCACTAACATTTAATGAACATGTTGATTCTGATGAAAAAAACTCCGTGTCATCTTAAATTGACAAGTGGTCCATTGATATATTGATTCTTCAGGTTCCAGAGTTTCTGAAATACTACGGAAGAATTGTCGTTGAAACTGTCGCTTATTTCTTGGTCAAATATATGAATATATGGAAAATGAGTAGTTAAGTAAAGTTCACAAGTAAGAACTAAGACAAATTTCGATTATATTCTATGGAAAAGAAGTCTGCTTAACGATTTCTCAAAAAAATGTCACCAGGATAAAACATGATCGATAACTTAATATTGTTTGTTTGAATCTTCCCATTGATGTTTTTAGGACTGCCACTGGTCAGTCTCTAATTGGTATATGTGCATACTATGCATATTGCCTCGATATATCCGTAATTCACAAGCATTGTAAGCAAAGATGGATAGTGGCTAGCAGTGGAATCCAGTTTGACACGCGTTTCGTCCTATTTGGGACTCGTCAGCTGGGTATACCTGCATCTCAGAATTGATGTTCACTCTGGGGCTCGGACCTAGTACCTTTCGCTTCAAACGCCATCGCGTTATCCACTCGACCACTGAGTCCTGAAAGCCACTTACTTGTGATAGTTGCAGTCCTAAAACCATCAATGGGAAAATTCAAACAAACAATATCAAGTGAATTTCGACTTCATCCCATTGCATAAGCAAGTAGCTGTCAGGGCGCGATGGCGTTTGAAGCGAAAGGTACTGTGTTCGAGTCCCGGAGTGAACACTAACTCTGAGGTGCAGGTACATCCAGCTGACGTCCCAAATAGGACAAAACGCGCTCAAGTTCACTGTAAATCGTTTTATTGCAACTGCTTCGGCAAAGCGTAACAATTCTGAATTCCGTCGTTTATTGATTATTTTGGAAGATTTCGCAACTTTGACATCATATCCACTGTCGAACAACTTCGCTATTGAAAAACTTCTGTCCATTTAGTCTGAACTTTTGTGTAATATTTTCAGAGATGCGGACACAAATCCTCCCTTCTGTTTTTCGTTGTATGTGCTTTGGCACGAACATGTAAATTGATAAACGAAATTGGAGATAATATAAGGCAGACATGTGACTATCTCATTCGGTTTGGTACAGAAAATCCAAATTAATCACTGGATATGTTCTTTTTTTAAATATTGTCTTCATTTTAAAATCGATCCTCTCAACTATTGCGTTGCCTAGACTTTTCTAATACAAAGTATGCACTCTTGTTTTGTTTCAATGAATAACACTATGAGTGTAAACAGTTTAGTAGAATCCATGAAGTAAGTAGATTCATGTTATTCTGCTACTATATTTTTTTCTTTATCCAAGATTATTTAATATTAATAAAGAAGCGCTATTGAATAAATGACTGTGGAACAGTCATATAGTATACTATGAGGATGACAGATTGTTGTCATACATTTAAATAAAGAGGTAAGATTGTCGCAAAATAACATGAACTCATTTATTTCCTGGATTCTCCACAATTGATTGCAGCCTAGAAAAAAAACACTAGCATACAGAAAGTTCTTGCATATATAGGATAATAATTAAGGAAGAATATCTCTATATTTGACACAAGTAAGCAAAAGTTTGACCAGTTTTTAACTCCTCCACAATTATTGTCTTTTATTATCATCTATCAAACTGAATTATATTCAAGAACTTCCCTGATGTAAAGTATGTATACTAGTTTTTTTTTACTTCCTTACGCCATTAAGAGTAGAAGATACTCGTAAGTTACTAGTATTTGACCACAGATGCCTTAGAAATATTGCTCGCATCTGCTGGGATAACCGGGTAAGTAATAGTGAGGATAGACGCAGGGTATTAGGGAATGATGGTAAATCAGTTGATGAGGTAATGAATCTTCATCGGCTGAGATGGTTAGGACACGTGTTACGCATTCCTGTACACAGATTACCACGACGGGCTATGATGACTAGTATTGGGGATGGTTGGAAGAGAATTAAGGGCAGCCAAACCAAAACGTGGGATCAGTGCTTGAAGTCACTAACTTCTAGTCTGAGCCATGTTGGTAGATGCAGACTACCTGGTTGGGGTCCGCGTGACTATCGTAACCAATGGTTGGAGACTCTGTGTGACATGACTCAGAATCGATAATAATGGCGTAGGCGTATACACTTTTTATCTTCCCTTAAACCTTAAGATTTAAATTGCTTCATAACGTTCTTCCTTCCTATACTATATCCTTATATACAACCTTTTATATACTACCATCACTAAATTAAATACTTCTATGAATTCAGTTTTCATCTTGTCGTGCTAACGAGGTATGGCAACTTGGACTGATGCATATATGTGCCTGGTCCTACGTTGTAGCTGACTGACTGACTACGCCTGTTACTCCCAATGGAGCATAGGCCGCCGACCAGCATTCGCCATTCCACTCTGTCCTCGCCCTTCCTTTCTAGTTCTATCCAACTTTTATTCATTTTTCTCATGTCTGTCTCCATTTCTCGGTGTAATGTGTTCTTTGGTCTTCCTCATCTCCTTTGGCCTTTAGGATTCCATGTGAGAGGTTTTCTTGTGACGGAATTGGGTGATTTCCTCAACGTGTGTTCTATTCACTTCCAGCGCTTCTTCCTGATTTCTTCTTCCGCTTCTAGGTTGTAACCAATTGTGGCGAATCCAGGAAATAAATGAGTTCATGTCATTCTGCGACGACCTGATTTCTTTATTTAAAATTAAGGATAGGAAAAATTGCATCTAATATTGTAACAGCTGTAATATAATCTTTCTAAAGAACATTGTTCGTCTATACAAGTTTCCAAGTCTTTATGAAATTTCGTTTATGAGATATTATGTTTAGCATTGTGAAAAACATCACAAAAGTAATTAGTTTGATACTTCAGTAAGAAAGCCTAATCGCTATCAAGATTATGAGAAGATAGGTACTGGATTGATATGTTTGCTGTATGCGAGGTAGGTAGGTGGGAATCCTTGTGGTAGATAAGAATTTATATGTTGATAGATTTTCTATCTTTTCATTCACTTCATAATACCAATTATTTCTTATGTTACTATGAGATTAGTAAGCATAAACCTGATAAGTAGTAAATTGATTTCTTTTTTGTTCATGAACTGATCAACTATGGAAGTTGCTTACCAGAATAACTGGTACAATAACTTTAATGT